TCCCTTTCCCTCCTTCCCTTCCCCCTCTCTCCACGTGGACCACCAAGCAGGGCTGAGGTGAGCAATGCTACCATGTGATGTGTCTGACTGCATTATTGTAATAGCTCTCCTCTACCTCTCATGCTCTCGATGACTTTAATATAATATATATATCTCAACCGTACGATTGTGCATTACTGAACCCGTGAGTACTAGTGGTGGGGGGCTGGCTCCCCCCACCCTTTAAAACTAATACTACACCCACTTGGGCAGCTGATCTGTTAAGTTGAGCACTCACTCTAGCCACAGGCTTCTCTCCAAACCCTGCACCCAGCCTGGTCCCACCCCTGAGCTCTGGGTCCCACCCCCACCTTCCTCAGGAGCACGCTCTCTCACCAGCCCCTCTTCCTCCTGATCTTCACTGTGCTCATGTCCACGGCCACTCTGTCATCACCTGTTGACATGACCAATCTCCCCACAGCCCCATGGGGCCCTCCAGCCGCCAGCCCCAGCCAGACTGCTCCTTTCTGTGGTGGGCTAAATTGTATCTCACACACACACACACACACACACACACACACACACACACACACTTCTTTTCCTCACAAAAGGTATATTCAACTCCTAGCCCCTGGTACCTGTGAGTGTGGCCTTATTTGGAAAAGAGTCTGTAGATGTAATCAAGTTAAGACCAGGTTGTATTGGACTAGGGTGGGCCAATCCCGTACGACTGGTGTCCTTCTGAGATAAAGGAAAGGGGGATTTATACACAGAGATGCAGCCAGACACACACACATACACACACAAAGAGAGAGGAGGGCAGGAGCATCATGGGAAGGTGGAGGCAGAAATGGGAGTGGTCTATGATAAGCCAAGGAACGCCAAGGCCTGCCAGCAGCTCCTAGAAGCTAGGGGAGTGGCAAGATCCTCCCTCAGTGCTCCCAGAGGGAGCACCAACCCCTGCCTCCTGCTGACACTTGGATCTTGTCTTCTGAGGACTTCCGGCTTCGGAAGTGTGGAGAAAACACCCTTGGTTTGAAGCTTGCCATTTGTGGTAATTTTCTTGCCTGCGCTCTAGGAAACACCCGGCAGGTCCTGTCTCCACGGCAGAGCGCCGAGCTCCGAGTACGCCACTCTGTCCACCCCTTGTCCTCGATGAGCCACTAACAACCTCTGAGGCCCTCTGTGGCTGCCAGACTTGTCCACCGAGGCCCCCCATCCCTGCAGATGCTGCCTCTGTCCCACAGCACCATTCTGTCCCGGACATTCATTCGCCCAGGAGACGGGCCCTCTCGCCACTTCCTTCCCCTCAAAGTCCCCTGGGGTTTAATCTGGAGCATTCTCACCTGGCACCCATGTGAAACCCTGGCTTCCCCTGAAATGCCACCCCTGGGAATCTCCCTGCAGATGGGCTATAGCACCTCTGGGTCAACATGGCCAAGGCTAACCTCAGC